ATTTTGGGCTCTTGATCAGTCATCTACCATCACCAATACTAAAGACAGTTGATAAAGTAATTTGCTGGAGATAGAGGACTATTTCACACTTTCTGTCTTTTACAGTAAAAGATTATAACTCATAGTCTACAATAGTATTAGAAAATAAGAGAGTCAAAAATAAAAGCTAAAGTTGATTTTAAAAACACCATGATTATCAGCCTCATGTCCCTTTATGAATAGCAATCGACCCTATAAGTAATACTTTTCTCCTACTTTGTCTTCATCTGTCCTATCAAACATGTAGTACCTAGCTACTGTGGCCTTTGCATCTGACCACTTGTAAAACAAAAAGTAAAACCTATTTCAGTGTTCCTGCATACATTAACATATATTTTAAAGTGATATAATATTTACTTTATATAGACCCTTGCTGCACATATGCTTGGCAGAATAGTCTTGGCAGCTCAAGGGAATTTTTCATCAATATTTGCATTTGACTTGCTGATCTGTAAATAAAAGGTTTCAGGAAAAGCATGTGTGTTTTCACAAAAATGGATCTAATGAAAGACTATTTGAATGCTTTAAATTACAAGTAGATCCTTATTTACACTTTCTATTTAATGGTATTTTCATGTTTAGAGAAACTGTATGGGGGCAATTACACTAATAGCTGGTACAAGGGGGTAAATTACCTAAGCATGTGCTTAGGTTGTCAGCAGCACTGGGGCTGCTGTTCTTCTTTGCAATAAATGACAGGTTTGTTGTTTAATAGAAATAATGCTTGCCCAAATTTTATATATAGTACATATCTGTTAAATGATGATTGTATTGTAAATATTAAAACAAATTGTCCTAGGAGCAGAAAGTCAGTGTGAATATTTAGCTTGTAATTATATTTATTTCCTAAATGCTGTTTATTTCCTAAATCACAAATCACACTCTTTTCCATCACAGATTCTTTGAACATATGCATATTTTCACTTTAGCATTTTAATGCTGTATTTTTTAACCTGAAAGCATGCTTTGTGAAGGGTGTGATTCTGTCAATACTTTAAAAGTGACCTTAATTTTCTGCAGTTAATGCTACCATTACCTCCTTCTTGGTCCATAATTATCAACATTAATAACAGAAGTCCTAGACCCTTTAAGTGGAAACAATAATCTATTTTTCATAGAATAATTGTTGGGAGTAGGCAGAATAAGAACACCTATGAAATGTGGAAAGCAAGCCTTGTGGAACAGGGAGATCCTGAAACAGCAGAGACATCCTTCGCAGAGCTGAAGGCATGCGCAGTGAAAGGTGCTGGCAAGGAAGGGACACCGACCAAATCGCTTACTGCATGATGGACTGATATGTCTGGTGTTTTGTGTTTAGGAAGAAAACCTAATATTAGGTTGGACTCCATTTTACTTTCACCTCCTTCTTCCCATAAGGACTTGGTGCCTGCCTTGGTAGGCACAGCAACAATTCTTCTATTGGTCAGATACCATGGGGTACTGACCAATCACAGAGTTTGGTGGGCTCCCCCTGCCCTGTTGGCGGGAAAGCCTGATTGTTACCTCCCAGTTACCACCCCTTTATCCATATTCATTTCCCCTACCCAATGTTTGTAGGAGGATTTGCATGCTCCTCCCTCCCTCCGCCCAAATTCCAGAACCTACCCTAACCGACCCTATATAAACTCTCCATTTTCTAATAAAGCAGATTCGGCTCGGTTGCTCCCTAGAAGTAGCTTCGCTGCTCCAGGGACTGCCGTTTGCACCTGACTCCGCCTCTTGCCTTCTCTTTGTGAGCTGCGTGAGTGAGCGGGTGTGTGAATGGCTCCCTGAGCTAGCTGGCTGCAATTTCCACCAACTACAACAAGTCCTAGACCCTTTAAGTGGAAATAATAATCTATTTTTCATAGAATAATCATAGAATTGTTAAGGTTGGAAGAGACCTTTAAGATCATCCAGTCCAACTGTCCACTAAGCACTGCCCCTGTAACCCTTAAACCACATCACATCCAGACACCTCTTGAACACTTCCAGGGATGGTGACTCCACCACCTCCTTAAGCAACCTATTCCAGTGCCTGACCATCCTAATAGTGAAAAAAATTTCCTAATTTCTTGTGATAGTTAGGACCTGGTTCCCTGCCAAATGTCCAAAAGTCACGACAGTAGCCCCCTTTCCCCCTCTCTTCTTCCCTTAGGGTAAAGGAAAAAAAAACTATATAAAAAAATTAAAGAACCCAAAATCAAGTTGCTTATATAAAAAATATATATATTTACGTAAATTACAGTTATATATAGTTAAGATGTTATATACACAGCAAAAGGGGATCCACCCCCTGAAGGGATAGGGAAAGGGGAAAAAAAGGGGGAAAAAAGGGAACAAAAGGGACACTAAACAGGTATACCCGATCAAACTCAAGAACTATACTAATAACTAACAAAACAGATCTCACCACATCCCTTAGAAAAGCTGGATTGGCAGACACAGCCAGCACTCTCCGAACCCCCCAAGTGGCAGGCCAGCGGTCGCTGCAGGCCCCAGCTTTAGATAAGCGAGACCAACGCAAGGACTCACTGCTCCTGAACCTCGCCGAAAGAGAAGAGAGAGAGGTCTCTAATCTCCAACTTATTTATACTCTGGTTTACGTAAAAATCGTATGGAATACTGGGTACTTGGTCACTTCCTTGGTTACAAACTGGTCACCAGGAAGGCCTAGATCAAAACCATCACATTTCTAATCTCAATCTTCCCTGTATCAGGGAAGCGACACCTATCACTGCTTATCACAGTGAGGCAATATATGCACACAGTACACACACAGAGCACCACAAAATGATGTCTGGTAATAGACAGTTGGTTCTGAGAGCAAATAAAGTGGATAAGGCAGGAACCAATGACTGGTATAAACAGCCATATATGACATTTTCTGTCTGACATCCTATCCTTAACTAAGTATGCTTTCTTTATATCACTAATATACTTTCTTTTCTTGTCAGAAAAACTATACAGTACTTCTCATTAATTCTAAAAGCTTGAACACAGAACTGGAAACCTTATATACTAGAAGATTGCACTGAAATATCTGTAGTGTCAAACTGTGAACAGCTAGCAGTATTTAGATGTACTGTGAGGGACAGTAAAGAGTATGCACTTTGGAAGCAACATCTTTAGAGGGAAAACCAACACAGATGAAGTTTCCTGGAGTCAACATAGGGAAAAACTTACAGTTTAAACTCAGGCATCACGAATTTATTGTACGGGAACTCCCTATGCTGTATAAAACCTCCCTCACTCGGTCACCAAGTGGCTGCCCTGGGTACTGCCATGTTTGTTCCGCACACAGTTAGCCCACGCCCCTATCCTAACCCCACTGGTTGTCTCACCTGTCTCTCCCTGGTCCCTGGGTTCCCATTGGGTGTTAACCTCCCGTCCCCTCTCGTTGGTAGCCGAGTAGCCAATCCCCTCCCTTCCTCCCAGCAGCCTTAATAAGCTGCGGGAAATTTGAAAAAACTCTCTTTGCCTCTGGACTGCCTGCGTGCTGTGTGATCTCTGCAGCTAGCCAACACCGGGACTCACATCAACATCACAGCAGCTCTGTCCCTGTGAGACAGAGGGCGGAGAGGATTTTCCCCACAAACCCTCTCAATGTACCTTTTTGCTTGCATGGGATAACAGGCATCAGAGTGGATTTCCAGGAAGCATATCGTGAAAATGAAGACAAGGACAACAGAGGTGGGAGGAGAAGAAAAAGTCAGACAGGTAACAATGTCTTTAAGGCAGGGACTATGTGGAGGGAGGAAGAGGACAGGAGACATATGAACTTATTTTAGCAGAGACGGTTAAACTTTAACACAAAGAGGGGTAGGTGTGACTTCATCATCTAAAACAAACCCAACACTTAATTTGATTTTGCATTTTGAATTACATTTTCTTGCTTTGTACAAGTAGAATAAAGTCTGTGGATTATTCCTGTCTCTTGAACATTTATGGACTCCTACCTATCCTATTAAATGGCTGGGCAAAAACTTCAAAGGAAGTTTCCCAACTCATGATAGGAGAAATAGTCCCATAAAACTATAAAAAATGTTTACAGTCAGCTCTGTTACCCTCTACAGGGATTACACAAAATGAAGCCTGGTCAGTTTCCTACTGACAAGCGATTTTTTCTATAAATAACTAAAGATCCAGCAATGTAGGTTCCACACAGACAAAAGCTTTTGCTGTTACAGTTCTAAATGATCTGCAATTCCCAAAAGCCTCAGAAAATAAACCCAAAGGTGACTCACTGTGTTATAATTTGATCAGGTTCTCTCCAGAGTGGGGAGGGAAAGGTGAGGAGAGGAAGGAAGGCAACACAGGAATTTATATGTTTCTAAAATGTATAAAATAACACCTAAAACCTCTCATGTCTCAAGCGTGAAAACCCTCAAGATTCCCCCTCCTCCGCCTCCCTCCATTTTCACCTTACTTAGCAAATTACCTCATTTTCCTTGAAGTCTTGAAGGTGCTTCTCAGTTCTGGGATGAGTTAGTAAGACAATACTGACAGTCTCCTACAGCAATTCTCATTGTTGTAACAGACATTCTTCAGAGAAAGAAAAGGCTCTGAAGAAAGATACTGACAAGCCAACTGAAAAAATGGCCACCAATTTTACATTCTCTGCCAGCACATCAACACTGTGCGGACTGCTCCTCTCCTTTATCCTCCTTCCCCTGCTACAATTTTAATTCTTCTAATTTCACAGGAAAACAACCCAGCCAAACTCAACCAAACAAAGGACAAAAACAAACCAAAACAAAAAGCACACACAAAACCAAACCAAACTCAAAACCAACCAACCAAAAACAGACAAAAGACAAACAAGAGGGCAGTAAAAAGAACATAAACCCTAATCAAATAGTTTCTGATACTCTATAGACTCAGCAAGATGTATATTTTTCTTTCGAAGTGACTGGACAGCTTCCAACAAAGTTTAAATGAAAACTTTAATATATTTATTTGTATATATTTTAGAAGCAGAAAGTTAAAAAAAAGGAATAAAAAATAACACCAACATTAAATATACTTTTCAACAGGTTTGCAGCATTTGACTATTATGTGAAAAAGCTGACAAGTAATCAGAAGTGTTAATGAATAAGTTTGCCTGTAGGTTCAAAACTATTAGCAATGATTAACACTAACATGACAAAAAATTGAAACCCTATATATAACCATTATTTGTTAATAAAATACTTTTAAATACTTGGCTTTCTTATAAATTATTTTTAAAAATATACAGGTCTTTTAATATCATATTCCCACAGAATTGTTTTTTTCCACCCACACCTGAACATTTTGGAGAAAATCTTTCATTTCTCTGCACTTCAGATTCTTGTGCATTGAATACATATTTGATTTTTCAGATTGTCAAATCAGAATCAGAAGTGACTGTATTTAAACAATAACTCTTTATTTAAATTTACTCAACTGATTTCCTCCAAGAAAAGACTGAGAGTCTCCCACATCTTTCTTTTAAAAATCAGGTAAGTACTTGAAAAAGTATAATAATGGAATTTTTTTGTTGTTATATATTTCTTGACAAATTTTGCCACTCTGGATTACCAGTCCAAAACACATAGGATTTTGTAGAATGAAAACGATGCATGAGTGTTTTAAATCAAGACAGAAATATTTGAAAGTTTATTTCAATATTATCACCATCAGAAACTGTTGGTTTGGCTCTGTGAAGTAGTCTCCTTCTCTCACTTTTCCATTATAACTCCTGATAAAAGACACATCACTTAACTTTATTCCAATGGTCCCTCAGGGGAAATATAACTTAAATGCTTCCTAAAACACAGTCTGCAAGTTTGCATGTTATTTATTCAATCGTTTCTTCAATTGTTCTAGATGCCTTGCATCAGCATCCTGGAGGATTAATACAGTACTTTTAGACTGAAATGGATTAAACTCAATAGTCATCAAACAACAGAGATCTATCAGTTGTTTTTGACATTTCTCTAAACCATCTTTAAACTTTAGACGTAAAGCTGGATCCTTTTTCAGCCTATTCATTTCAGGCACCGAAAAGCCAATCAAGCTCGTTAGAATATCATCAGCAAAATCTACTTCAAGATAAGCCGAACCATCAGAAATTTTTGCCTTTATACCCCAGGACCCATTGCTGTTTGTGAGGTTTCCAGTGAGAGTAACAATAAAACACTTAACTTTCAGAATTGTAACAGTTTCTGGTTTTTTTGCAAGGAGAAGGGAAATATATGTGAAAGGTGAAGAATCTAAATCTAAATGTGGCTCTACCGCTCTGCAAGGAAAGGTATGCGAATCATGCTTCTGCTGACCTGCTTCTGGATCTGTTTTTGAGAAATATATAGGATCACCATTCAACACCCTGCTGTCAGAAGTGTGCTGGGATTTACATCTGCTTTCATCTAAGTCTGTATCATTCTGCCCTTCTTCAGGAGGATTTTCCGAAGAAAAATCTGAAGAACTGCAGGTCTGACGTATGCTTCTGAGCTGCAAAAAGCTATTTGTACTATTTCCACCTTCATCAAATATTGCTTTTCCAAAATTCTTTTCCTTGCTTATAGCTTCCATAGGTTTATCTCTTTCATTCACATCACTTTTTTCACACGTGCCATTTAAAGACGAATTGCACAATCTTCTATGTGTATGTGGAAGTCTTTCAGTAATTAAACCTGTGTTTCTGTTCGTGACCACTGGTGTCACTTCATCTAGCTCTATTTGCATCTCTTCTTCCAGAAGAAAGTCATCTTCTAAAGGAAAGTCATTTAAAAAGCCATCAGCATATTCTGTAGGAGGTGAAACTTGTTCATCTGAACGAGGCAAAGAGCTTCCAGATTTCTCTATCAAAACATTTCCATTGTGTACAGTCAGTGAACCTGAGGCTGTACTTAAATTGTTGCTTCTGCTGCAATATCCACTTTCTAAAGATGTTCTATTGTTTAAAGTAAATTCATTATTTTCATCAAGACTAGCTAAAAGCTCTTCATCTGAAGGACCAAGAGTTTGTTCTAATTCATCCACAGGCCTGGAAAAAGTCTGCTCAAGACCAGCTTGTCCAACAGAATTATGGTTTTCAGTTTCTCCAATTAATCTAGCAAGGACTCTTTCTTGAGAATAATCCTCAAGAAGAGCGTCCACTTCACCCCCCAACAGTTTCACATTTTCTGGTTTAAGCAGAAGGACTCCAAGACGATATGTAATATTACCCTGTAGAGTGATTTTTGTTCCAGGAGGAAGATTACTGCACAGGACAGGCACTGGTTGATACTCCATGCCCTGAATTTGATGTATTCCATCAGTTAGTTGCAGCATTAGCATTCGAGTAGGCTTTGCTTCCCAGGGCTTCTGAAATGCCTGAGTACTGGCTGTTACTTCTTCATTTACAGTGTTTTTCCCTCTTAGCTTCTGCAACTGAGAATATGCTGGCTGGCTAACATCAACCAATGAATCAACCTGTATGGAGTAGAAGCCTGACAACTCTCCTTTGGGAGCATCCAAGATGCAGTCAGGCAAAATGGGATATTCCAAGTCTCTTAGATCGGTAAGAAGCCATTGCTCAAATACTTGCTTGTTAATCTGAGCTTGACTTAAGTTACTACCACTATTTTCTTCCTGGATCCAATTAATACATGCTTCCAGCCATGTCAAAGGAACTTTAACATGCCATGTGGATGAAAGCCAGGTTTCCACTCTTACTGCAATGTTAGATGTAGACATTTTCTTTTACAGTAACAGTGAATTCCCTAAAAGAGAATCCAAAAAGACATACTTACTCTTCTGACAAAAGGTGAACACATGATGAGTCTCGTGCTCATGTTATATAGAAGTTTTAAATAAAAAACATTCTACAGACACATTTCCAATATTTAGCACTTCAATCAGCATAAAAATGATGTGCAATTATCAAGAAGTGTGTGCAAAATATGGGGGAAGGATGGAGATTTGTATAAGCAACCGTGCTTTGTGACTTCTTTTCTGTTGACTTAATTAGAAATATACAACTGAAATCTATTTCTTGTGGATGGAAAGTGGATAAAAAACCCAAACGAAAAGATAAGTTGTTTAATATATATCCTGTACTTTTTACTGCTTCATTTCTGTGGGTGTTGCTGTTAACAACCAGTTTACTTTAGAAATTGACCTGAGATGTTATTCTCCCAGTTCACCAGTACTGTTATGAACAGAAGTAAGAGACCCTACAGAACCAAGCTGGGGTCTACCAACACTTATATCAGAGGGGTGACTTTCAGTTTGTAACTGGATGAAAGCATTTACCCTACAACAGAAAGCTAGCCTGAAACACTGTTATTCAGAGATTCTATCCAGGGTTTGGCTGCGAGTCTTTGCAGCTATCGTATCAGAGACATCATTGGCTAATAAGCTCTAGCTTCTTATTAGTTCAGGAAGTAGATAACCACAAACAGAACAGAAGTATTTCAGTTGGAAGGGACTTAGAACAATCATCTAGTCCAACAACCTGATCAATTTATGGCTCAACAAAAGTTAAAACACGTTGTTATTAAGGATATTGTCCAGATGCATCTTAAACACTGAGAGGTTTGGGGCATCAGCCACCTCTCCAGGAAGCCTGTTCCAATGTTTGATAACCCTTTTGGAATCATAGAATCATTCAGGTGGGAAAAGACCTCCAAGACCATTAGGTACAACCTTTGACCAAACACCACCATGTCAACTAGATCACGGTACTAAGTGCCACATCCCGTCATTTCTTGAACACTCCTAGGGATGGTGATGCCATCACCTCCCTGGGCAGCCTGTTTCAATGTTTAAATATCCTTACAATGAAGAAAGAACAGGTTTGAGGCCCTGGACCCAGAGAATCAGATAGAAGACAGTCAGGAGGAAGACCTGTCTGGAGGGTCTCCTGGTTCCACCCTGTCTACCAGACGGATTACAACTACAGCTATAAAAAAGAAAAGAAGGGTAGTTGTAGTCGGTGACTCCCTTCTGACGGGAACTGAGGGTCCTTTGTGCCGACCAGACCCATCCCACAAGGAGGTCTGCTGCCTCTCTGGGGCCTGGGTGAGGGATATTAGCAGGAGACTCCCTGAGCTAATCCAACCCTCTGATTATTGTCCACTGCAAGTGGTCTGGGCTGGCAGTGATGACATTAATGAAAGAAGTATCAGGGTGATTAAAAAGGATTTCAAGGCACTGGGTAGTTAATGAGACAGGAGCACAGGTGGTGTTCACCTCTATTCCTGCAGTAGCAGGGATGAATGAGGAGAGGAGCAGGAAAACCCATCTTATCAATAGATGGCTAAAGGATTGGTGCCATCAGCAGAATTTTGGTTTTTTGACCATGGGGCAAATTCTATGGTACCTAGACTCCTCAAATCAGATGTGCTTCATCTGTCTAGCAAGGCCAAAGGGACTACAGCCCATAAGTTGGCAGGGCTGATCAGGAGGGCTTTAAACTAGGTTTGAAGGGGAAAGGGATTAAAACCGGGCTCTCCAGAGATGAGCCTAAGGGTGGGAAGCCCAGGTTAAGAGTGAAACCAGCAGCCCAGCTGAAGTGCACGTACACCAATGCATGCAGGGTGGGTAACAAACAGGAGGAGCTGGGAGCCATCGTGCAGCAGGAAAGCTGTGACGTAGTCACCATCATGGAAACGTGGTGGGATGAGTGGCATGACTGGAGTGCTGCCATGGAAGGCTGCAAGCTCTTCAGAAGGGACAGGCAAGGTAGGAGAGGTGGAGGAGTGGCTCTGTGTGTTAAGAGAGTCTCCTGACTCTGTAGAACTTGAAGTCAGTAACAATGAGGTTGAGTGCCTGCGGATCAGAATCAGGGCTGACATCCTGATGGGAGTCTGTTACAGACCACCCAACCAGGATGATGAGGGTGATGAATTATTCTACAAGTAGCTGGCAGATGTCTCAAAATCTCCAGCCCTTGTTCTCGTGGGTGACTTTAACCTGCCAGATGTCTGCTGGAAACTCAACAGGCAGAGAAGAGGCAGTCTAGGAGATTCCTAGAATGTATAGAGGATAATTTCCTGCTCCAGCTGGCAAATGAGCCTACCAGGGGTGGGGCCCTGCTAGACCTGCTGTTCACAGACAGAGAGGGGCTGGTGGGAGATGTGGTGGTCAGAGGCCATCTGGGCCACAGAGACCATGAAATAATAGAGTTTGCAATACTCAAGGATGCAAGGAGGGCCATCAATAAAACCTCTATGCTGGACTTCCACAGGGCAGATTTTGGCCTTTTCAGAAGACTAGTTTGGAGTGTCCCCTGGGAAACTACCCTTGAAAACAAAGGGGTCCAGGAGGGATGGGCACGCTTCAAGAAGCAAGTCCTGAATGCATAAGAGAAGGCTGTCCCAGTGTGCTGAAAGGCAAGCCGATGGGGAAGATGACCGGTCTGGCTGAACAGGGAGATTTTAAAGGAAATTAGGGTAAAAAAGAGAATCTACCAACTATGGAAAAAAGGGCTGGCTACTTGGGAAGAGTTTAGGAATATAGTTAGGTCTTGCCAAAAGAAAACCAGAGAGATAAAGGCAAAACTTGAACTTGACCTTGCCTTCTGACCTTCTGTTAGGGATAACAAAAAGTCTTTCTATGGATACATCAATAGCAAAAGGAGGGACAAGGAAAGCCTCCATTCTTTATTGGACAGGGGTGGGAACATACTTATCAAAGATGAGGAAAAGGCTGAGGTATTTAACACCTTCTTTACCTCAGTCTTCAACAGTAAGACAGGTTGTCCTGAAGACAGCTGGCTTCTGGAGCTTGTAGACAGGGATAAGAAGCTGAATAGCCCCCCTGTAATCCAGGAGGAAACAGTTAGCGACCTGCTGATCCACTTGGATCCCCACAAGTCTATGGGACCAGGTGGGATCCACCCAAGGGTGATGAGGGAGGTAGTGAAAGAGCTCTCCAAGCCACTCTCCATCACTTACCAACAGTCCTGGCTCTCTGGGGAGGTCTCAGAAATTTGGAAGTTGGCAAATGTCACGCCGATCCACAAAAAGGACCAGAAGGAGGACCCGGGAAACTCCAGGCCTGTCAGCCTGACCTCAGTGTCTGGCAAGGTTATGGAGCAGATCATCCTGAGTGCAATCACACAGCACCTACAGGATGGACAAGGGATCAGAGCCAGCCAGGATGGGTTTAGGAGGGGCAGGTCCTGTCTGACCAACCTGATCTCCTTTTATGATCAGCTGACCCACCTGGTGGATGAGGGGAAGGCTGTGGATGTGTCTCTCTGGACTTCAGCAAAGCCTTTGACACCGTCTCCCATAATATACTCCTGGAAAAGCTGCAGCCCAGGGCTTGGACAGGGGCACTCTGTGCTGGGCTAGGAACTGGCTGGAGGGCCGGGCCCAGAGAGTGCTGGTGAATGGGGCTGCATCCAGCTGGGGGCCGGTCACCAGTGGTGTCCCCCAGGGATCAGTGCTGGGTCCAGTCCTGTTTAACATCTTTATCGATGATTTATATGAGGAGATTGAGTTGATCATTAGCAAATTTGCAGACGACACCAAGCTGGGGGGGAATGTCAACCTGCTGGAAGGCAGGAGGGCTCTGCAGAGGGACCTGGACAGACTGCAGAGCTGGGCTTATTCCAGCGGGATGAGGTTCAACAAGGCCAAGTGCCGGGTCCTGCACTTTGGCCACAACAACCCCCTGCAGCGCTACAGGCTGGGCACAGAGTGGCTGGAGAGCAGCCAGGCAGAAAGGGACCTGGGAGTTTGGATTGACAGGAAGCTGAACATGAGCCAGCAGTGTGGCCAGGTGGCCAAGAAGGCCAATGGCATCCTGGCCTGGATCAGGAACAGTGTGGCCAGCAGGAGCAGGGAAGTGATCCTTCCCCTGTCCTCAGTGCTGGTGAGGCCACCCCTGGAGTGCTGTGTCCAGTTCTGGGCCCCTCAGTTCAGGAAGGATATTGAGGTGCTGGAGCAAGTCCAGAGAAGAGCAACCAGGCTGGTGAAGGGACTTGAGCACAAGTCCTATGAGGAGAGGTTGAGGGAGCTGGGGTTGTTTAGCCTGGAGAAGAGAAGGCTCAGGGGAGACCTCATCGCTCTCTACAACTCCCTGAAAGGAGGTTGTAGCCAGGTGGGGGTTGGTCTCTTTTCCCAGGCAGCTATCAGTAAGACAAGAGGGCATTGTCTCAAGCTCTGCCAGGGGAGGTTTAGGTTGGATGTTAGGAAGAAATTCTTAACAGAGAGGGTAATCAGGCATTGGAATGGGCTGGCCAGGGAGGTGGTGGATTCTCCCCCCTGGAGGTATTTAAGAAGAGACTGGATGTGGCACTTAGTGCCATAGTCTAGTAACTGTGATGCTAGTGGATCAAGGGTTGGACTTGATGATCTCAGAGGTCCTTTCCAACACATCTGATTCTATGAAATTCTTCCTTATGTCCAACCTGAACCTCCCTTGCCACAGCTTGAGGCTGTGGTCTCAAAAAGACTGACCCCCACCTTGTTACAACCTCTTTTCAGGTAGTTGTGGAGAGTGATAAGGTCTCCCCTAGGCCTCCTTTTCTCCAGCCCTGCTTCCTCAGCTGCTTTTTGTACGACTTACGCTCTGGACCTTTCACGCGATTCGTTTCCCTTGCTAAAGAAATTATTCCTACTGTCAAGTCTGAATCTCCCCCAAAGTAGCTTTGAAACCTTCCCAGGTGTCCTGTCACCAAATGCCAGGAAGAGACCAACATCTCCCTCTCCACATTGCTCCTCAGGTCACTCCCAGCTCCTTCTCTCCAAACCAGACAAGCCCAGGGTCCTCAGCTGCTCCTCACAGGACATGCCTTCCAGCCCTTCCACCAGTGTTGCTGCCCTCCTGTGGACCATTCAAGGACCTTCGCGTCCTTCTCGAACTGTGGGGCCCAGCACTGCACACAGGACTCAGGGTGAGGCCGCACCACGGCTGAGTACAGCGGGATGATCCACTTTTGGCAGCTGATGTTGCTGTGTTTGATGCAGCCCAGGATGGGGTTTGCCCTCCTGGCTGCCCGGGCACACTGCTGATTCACACTGAGCTGCTGCCCACCAGCACCCCCACAGCCCTCTGTAGGGTGTAGTGTCTGCTCTCCAGACACTCCTCTCCCAGTTTATACTTGTGACCAGCAGTCCATCCCAGGGTCAGAATCTGGTATTCATTCATGTAAAATTTCATGCCATTGATAATTGCCCAGTGCTCCAATCTTTGCAGATCCCTCTGCAAAGCTCTTGTCCCTCGAGAGAATCAACAGGACCTTCCAATTTGGTATCAACAGCACACTTGCAGTGCATTTAACTCCTGCATCCAGATCACTAATACAAACAATTAAAAAGATATTAGACTGCCTAAGTGTGCCTGCATCATGTTCAATCCCTTAGAAACGGTGATCGAGGAGATCAACTTCCCTACAGAGCATACAGAAAACAAGCACTACCATAAGGATATTTAAGGAACAGTAGGTTTGGCTGTTGTTTCGCACAATCTTTCCGCAGGGAGGTGAGAGGGATGCTCTGTCCCCGCAGCCCCCGCCGGGCGGATCCCCCCACTCACCGTTCCGGGGCTCCCTCGCGGCCTCCGCTCCACACAAACACCGCGCGCACCGGCACCCAATGGCAGCAGCGCCTGCACTCATCGCGAGAGTTCCGCTGCCGCCGGCGCCGGGCGGCGCGCACAAGGCGGGGTTTTGGCGGCCGCCATTTTCTCGCTCCCCGGCAGCAGCCGCTCCCATCGTGCTGGGCCGCCCTGCGCCGCTCGCGCCGCCGACAGCGCGGCTCCTGCCGCCCAGGTAGGACAGCCTGGCCGGCTGCCGCGTCGGTCTGACAGCGCCGCTTTCCCGCGGCACCGTCTCGCCCTGTCCCGCACGGAGGGCGGGGCGCGGCGGGGCGCCGCCCCCTCGCGCTGACAGGCAGCGGCCTCACCCAACGGGGCGCCGGCGGCGCCGCTCGGCAAGGGTGGCGGAGCCAATCGCGGGTGGCGCTGCTGCCTGTGCGCGTCGGCGGCCGCGGGTGCTGCCTTTTCTCTGCCGTGCGCGGAGAGGCCGGCGGCGGGTGCAGGTACGCGCACCCGCGGCGCGGTGCGGCGCGGCCGGGGCTGGCGAGGAGGGGGAGAAGGCGGGAGGGGGGCGTAGGCCGGATCGGGCCTCTCCTAGGCCCTCAGAGCCGCTGCCGGGGCCTGCTTGGCGCCGCTGCGTGACACAGCGGTGCGGGAGGGCCCGGGGCCGCTGTCGTGGGCCTCAGCCCCCGGCGCCGCCGCGGTCTCGGGGGTCCCGTGAGCTCCGACAGGGGTGGCGGTGCAGCGAGGCGGGCTCTGCGTGGAAGAGAGCGGGGTGTCGCCACCTCGGTTGTTGCTTAGGGTGGACCTTCCCAGGGCTTCTGTTCCCTGTGCCCCGCGGGAGCAGCGGGCTGCCGCCCGGCCACCGCAAGTTCCGCAGCGCCGCCGGGTGCGCTTCAAGGGCGGGGGAGCGGCCTCCGCCCTCCCGCGCCCGCCCTTGGTGCCTCTGTGCCCGGGGCGTGCTACTGTGGCGGATTATGGCGGGTGCAGGGAGGGCGCTCCGGGCCGAGACCAGGCGCGGGGGCCCATCGGGGACTGCCGCGCTTGGCGGCCGCGCCGCTGTCGGGGGTGGGCCGAGCTCCCGCGCCGGCGGGGCTGCCCCGCTCCGTCAGGCCTCCGGGCGCCTCCTTTGTGTCCGCCCGGGCAGAACCGGGTAACTCTCCCCGCGGCCGCGTGGTGGTGGCGGCGACCCTTCCGCTGTCGGCTCCGCCTCGCCGCGGGCGGGCGGCCGGGCGGGCGCCATTTCGGAGGGCGCCATTTCTGGTGCTCTGTGGGCGCTCTGCGGCGCCGCCGCTCCCGCTCCGCTCCCCCTGCACCGGGCGGGCGGCTGGAGGCGCATGGAGAGGGAGAGAGATGGAGGGAGGGAGGGAGGCAGGCGGGTGGCAAGAGCCGCTGCGTCCTGGAGGGAGTCTTGGACTGAGGCGCGCTGGCGTTTTCCAGCTCTTGTATCTGTGATCGGTACTCCCGGTTCTCGTGGCCTCTTTAGCCTTTCGGTGTTTTTAGGAATCCGGACTTTGCTAGTGATTTTAACGTCCTCGATTTACCCAATTGAGCGAGGCTAGAGAGTACCTGACGTATACGCAGGTTTGACTAGGGCAGACTAAGCCGTGAATTGTAACTGTAACCGATATTACAGTTCGGTCCCTGCAGCCCTGAAATTCTCGGGATACATGGAAACAGATTAACCAGGGTCCAAAAAGGCTATTTCACCGTGACCGGTCGTTTCCTACTCTTCGTCCGCGTAGCAGCGCAGATTGTGGCACTGTGTGCCTGAGATGCCGGTGTCGTTAACTCCGCGCGCCCGTGAGCTCGTTTCAAGGGCCTGGGAAAGCCGTGCATGCTCTTAAGCCACTACAGGCGGGGCAGCAATTAAACAGCTGTCTGAATGTGTTTATAAAGTTGCAACCACGGGGGGGTTTGTTTGTTTGTTTGTGTTGCTTTGTTTTGTTTTTGTTGTTGTTGGTACCAGAATGAGTGCCTGCTGCTTGTGGCAAGTGAAATTAATGCAATATGAAGGGAATTATATGATTATTTTGCTGCATTGTCTGTAAATCACATTTTTAAAGATAATAAGTTGAAAAATTACTTATTTTGTCTGCACTGCTCTCTGATGTGATTTATTAGCATTCCAAGATAAATTTAACAAAAGCAGATTGCAGTCTATTTCAGAAAATCATAATGAGATTCAGTTGCTTTTGGAGTTCTTGTGTGTGCAGAGAGGATTATATGAGAATTATATACAGTGGGTGGTATTTCTGAAAACACAGTTTCTTAATGTAGCTAGAAGTTGTAATTTTTATTTTGTTCATCAGTTATGATGATTGTAATTTTTATTTTGTTCATTTGGCAGGCATGCTCAAATGCTTGCTGGTATGTTGGTAGAAAATTTGTAAAAGTAATGCTGACAATGACCATAATAGGACTTTATTTTCAAGTTTAAATTGTGTATACCTAAACAAGAGGAGCAGATTCTTATGTAGTGTCCTATTATAAAGTGAAACCAAGGCACATGTATCATATAACATGTTGAAAATAAGAGCTGAATGCAGGCACTTTAAATTCCTCAAAATAATTTGTAATAAGTGTGATTACTTAAAACTACCATGTGCCCAAAATCTGTAATTCAGATGGTAAGAGTTTATATAAGTCTACAGACTTGACTTCTGTCTCCTCTTAGTGGTGTGTTTATCTTGGGTATACTTTTTCTTTTATAAAGAAAAGATTCGTGACAGCTTAGGTCAAACCTCTGTGTTTTGGTTGTAGTGAGAATCAGAGCTGTTACGTGAGGAGACTCACAATTGATATATGCTGTTTTCATAGGCTCTTGAAGCAATAGGCTGTTGGATTTTGATCCCGCCCACAGTACTTGAGTTTTTCTCTGCAGTGATATATAATAGCGGTAAGTTCTAGCAGCAGGCATTTATTTTTGTTACTGTTTTTGCTTTAGCATGATGTACAGTTTGCCTTTTGACAGACTAGATGTACCATCTTTTTTATTTTTCAACAGGTTTTGCTTGCCCACATAAGAAGAAAAGGCAATGGAGACTGAACAACAGGAAG